GTATGTGTATTGCACTCTGTATTATTAATTTATTGGTGCTAAGTATTTCAGCAGGAAACTTCCAGGGCTTCCAGAACTGTGCTAGTGGCTGTGATCACAAATTATTCATCAGTGCCACTTCTTCAAGGAAAGCCTTTCTGAACAAGTACATCTCTGACATTCTTGCCTTTTTTTTTTTTTTTGTTTTGTTTTTTTTTGCCTTTCAGCTGCTTCCCTCTAAGTTCCAGAGGGAGAAGTTGGTCAACAGAAAGCAGGAGGCCAGCACTGGGCAGAATTTTCTGCCCAGAATTGGCCCATGTGTAGACATGAGTGAGACTCGTCAAAAGGTAGCCTTTTCCTACTCTTTTCCTTTCTGTTTCACATGAAGTTTGAAGAGGGTGTGTACTTGTGACAGGCTCACCTCCAGCAAAATACCTCAGTGTCCAGGTCCTGTTGTCATTGCAAACTGCTGGCAGTGATGGACTGGGAGTCCTGATCTGCACTAAGCCAACACAACTGACCTCTGCTGAAGCTGCTGGGCTGTGCTGGAGTGTAGCTGCCATTGCTAAAACCATGGGGGCAAGGCTGGGGACACAAAGACACAAAATTGCCATTTGCCATTCTCCTGCTGAAGGAGCCACCTCTTGCTTTGGTGTGGTCACCATCAGATGCTTGGGGTCACAGGATTCCCTCCACAGTGGCAAGTGTTGGCCTTTGAAGGCTGAGGATCTGCAGGAATCACTTCAGATTTAGCAAAACAAATTGCATTAATGCTTTGGGTTGGAACAATGTGTTGGACCCTGACGGGGTGTTAGATTTTTCAGGCTGCCAGATGTACAGGGGACTGGCCCTGGGCAGAAGGGAATGGATGTGCTTTGTCTGGATCAGTGCCTACTTAGAGGTGTGTTTAAAGCTGCTTTTCTGGCAGGACTGGCTCAGTATAAAGCACAGTCCAAAAGGGTAGGTGACCGAGGTGGGCTGTTGAGCAGCAAATTGGCAGCAAGCGACACAGAACACAATCCAGGTTAACGACTGCCCTGGAGAAGGGCGTTGGGAACACCTCAGGGAAAGGCACAACTAAGGGACAGTGTGCTGCGGCCACTCCCTTCAGCAGACTGTCTCCCGTGGAGTCACAGGAGACCTGCTTGTGTCTCTGGAGTAACAGCAGTGTGGCTGGAGAAGGGGAGAGTTTTCTTAAAGCAATGTCTCTGGTCCAGAAGCATTTGCTGTTGTTGTGTCATTCCAGACATGCCTCTACAGTGGTATTAAATAAGACAGCAATAATTACAAGAAAGCACCCATTTAAAGCTAATGGAAAAAGGAGATACCAACTCTACTCTTACCCAAGTTGCTGAGAAAATAACCGAACCTTATCCTCATTCAGCATTCACCTCACTTGTCTTTTTCCTGACTTCTGTAGTACTTTATTTTTGCCTTTACCTCTGTTAGAAAGGCAGTAACTTTTAAATGCAATGAAAGGGGACAAAATCATCAAAGCAAAAGAAAACTGTTTATTAGTAACCATGCAGCTGAGCTGGGCGTGTGTCTCCCTGCCCCCAGAGACAAGCAAACACACCTCCAACAAAAAGGCAATCTTTGTATCCCCTTTGTATCCGGCTGGACAGGTCCCTGTCCCCTTTCCCCTTGGAGGGGTACTGGGGAACTTCCACTCTCTATGACCAACAACTTTTCTGTCCCCTCCCCTCTCATCCTCCTTCCTTTTGGTCATGTCTTCAACCCCATCCCTGTCCCAGCTCACAGCAACACCCAACAAACCAACCTGAACAAACTACAAACAACACATAGAACCAACAAATTCCATTCTTTCACTTAAAAACCTTTTGGCTTCAGCCAAATATCACCTCATCTCTCACACCTCCTCTAGTA